ATCCCAGTCCCCTTCCAGCAGCAGGGCCACGCCCTGGGCCACCTGGGAACGGCGGGAATTCCGGGAAAATGGGGAAAAAACAGGGAGAAATGGGAAAAAACGGGGAAAAAACGGGATTTAGGGAGCACAGGGGGTGTTCCCATCCCATCATCCCAGTCCTTTTATCCCAATCCCCCATCCCAGTCCCCTTCCTACAGCAGGGCCACGGCCTGGGCCACCTGGGAACGGCGGGAATTCCGGGAAAATGGGGAAAAAACAGGGAGAAATGGGAAAAAACGGGATTTAGAGAGCACAGGGGGTGTTCCCATCCCATCATCCCAGTCCTTTTATCCCAATCCCCCATCCCAGTCCCCTTCCTACAGCGGGGACACGCCCTGATCCACCTGGGAACGGCGGGAATTCCGGGAAAATGGGGAGAAATGGGGAAAAAACAGGAAAAAATGGAAAAAAACGGGGAAAAAATGGGATTTAGAGAGCACAGGGGGTGTTCCCATCCCATCATCCCAGTCCTTTTATCCCAATCCCCCATCCCAGTCCCCTTCCAGCAGCAGGGACACGCCCTGGGCCACCTGGGAACAGTGGGAATTCCGGGAAAATGGGGAGAAATGGGGAAAAATTGGGAGAAATGGGGAAAAAATGGGAAAAAACGGGATTTAGGGAGCACAGGGGGTGTTCCCAGCCCATCATCCCAGTCCTTTTATCCCAATCCCCCATCCCAATCCCCTTCCAGCAGCAGGGACACGGCCTGGGCCACCTGGAAAACCGGGATTCTGGATCCCAGGGGCTCCCCCATCCCAAATCCCGATTTTTTTTTTTGGGAAAATCCCGTTTTTGCCTGGTTCTGGAGGCAGCAGAGCTGGCTGCGCAGCAGGAGCCGGGAATGGCGCAGGAGCAGCCGGGAATCGTCGCTGCCTTCCTCCTCCTCCTCCTCCAGGCACGATTCCAACTCTTCCAGGAAAACCTGGGAATGCCACACCTGGATCAGCACCCACAGCCCATCCCGGGGGGGATTTTCCCGGGATTTTGGGAATTCCTGGAGTTCCCTCATCCTGGTTTTTTTTTCCCTGGGTCTGGACAGGACATTCCCAGATTTCCCTGAGTTTGGGAAGCGCATTCCCAGATTTCGGGAGTGCATTCCCAGATTATCCCAGCGCATTCCTGGATTTCCAGAGCCCATTCCCGGATTTTCAGAGCCCATTCCTGGATTTCCAGAGCCCATTCCCAGAATTCCAGAGCCCATTCCTGGATTTCCAGAGCCCATTCCCAGAATTCCAGAGCCCATTCCCAGAATTCCAGAGCCCATTCCTGGATTTCCAGAGCCCATTCCTGGATTTCCAGAGCCCATTCCTGGATTTCCAGAGCCCATTCCCGGTTACTTGGGCCTGGCCAGGACATTCCCTGATTCCCAGATCCCATTCCTGGATTCCCAATCCCATTCCCAGATCCCCAGCTCCCATTCCCGGTTACCTGGGCATTCCCAGCTCCCATTCCCAGCTCCCATTCCCAGATTCCCGGTTACCTGGGCGTGGCCAGGACATTCCCAGATCCCCAGATCCCATTCCCGGTTACCTGGGCGTGGCCAGGACATTCCCAGATTCCCAGCCCCCATTCCCGGTTACCTGGGCGTGGCCAGGACATTCCCAGATTCCCGGATCCCATTCCCGGTTACCTGGGCGTGGCCAGGACATTCCAGCTGCAGCAGGATCCGGCACAGCTGGCTCAGGGCCTCGGCCTCTCCCGTTCCATCCCCGAGCCTCCGGCACAGGGACCGGAGCAGCCGCAGACTCCGCAGGGCCTGCAGGGGCTGCAGGGAAAATCCCCGGATAACGATCCAGGGAATCCCGGGAATCCCGGCAAAACCTGGCCTTCCTCTTCATCTTCCTCATCCCAAACTCTCTCCTCTTCATCCTCATCCCAAACTCCCTCCTCCTCATCCCAAATTCCCTCCTCTTCATCCCAAATTCCCTCCTCTTCCTCATCCCAAACTCTCTCCTCTTCCTCATCCCAAACTCCCTCCTCATCATCCCAAATTCCCTCCTCTTCCTCATCCTAAATTCCCTCCTCTTCCTCATCCCTAAATTCCCTCTTCCTCATCCCAAATTCCCTCCTTCTTCATCCCTGAATTCCCTCTTCCTCATCCCAAATTCCCTCCTCTTCCTCATCCCAAATTCCCTCCTCTTCCTCATCCCAAACTCCCTCCTCTTCCTCATCCCAAACTCCCTCTTCCTCATCCCAAATTCCCTCCTCTTCCTCATCCCAAATTCCCTCTTCCTCATCCCAAATTCCCTCTTCCTCATCCCAAATTCCCTCCTCTTCCTCATCCCAAATTCCCTCCTCTTCCTCATCCCAAACTCCCTCCTTCCTCATCCCTAAATTCCCTCTTCCTCATCCTAAATTCCCTCCTCTTCCTCATCCCTGAATTCCCTCCTCTTCATCCCAAACCTCCCTCCCTCTTCCTCCTCACCCCAAGCCTTTTCCCTCCCTCCCAGATCCCGGGGATCCCCGGGGATCTGGGATCACCTTTCCTTGGATGAGGAAGAGCTATTCATCCCCAAACTCCCTCCTCTTCATCCCAAATTCCCTCTTCCTCTTCCCAAATTCCCTCCTCTTCCTCATCCCAGATTCCCTCTTCCTCCTCATCCCAACCCTTTTCCCTCCCTCCTCTTCATCCCAAACCTCCCTCCCTTCCTCTTCCTCACCCCAACCCTTTTCCCTCTCGGTCCCGGATCCCGGGGATCCCCGGGGATCTGGGATCACCTTTCCCTGGATGAGGAAGAGCGCGGCCAGCAGCTGCAGGGAGCCGGCGCTCTGCTCCGGGCTGCGCAGCGCCGGAACCCCGGCGTTCTCCAGCAGCTGCTCCCACAGGGAAACGGCTTCGTCCAAGGGTTTGGAGAGAGCTGCAGGGGGCAGAGGGCTCGGCCAGGGAGGGAAATCCCGGGAAAAAGCTCTTCCCAAAGCGGGATCATCCCGGGAAAGTCATCGTGCTGCCCGGGAAAGCTCGGTGGTGATGATGGGAAGGCTCATCCCGGACATCTGGGATCCCAAAAAACCTCATCCAGATCCACCAGCGTCACAAAAAATCGCTCCTTGGACTTCCAGGATCCCAAAAAATCGCTCCTTGGACTTCCAGGATCCCGAAAAATCCCTCCCCGGACTTCCAGGATCCCAAAAAACCTCCTCCAGATCCACCAGCGTCCCAAAAAATCCCTCCCCGGACTTCCAGGATCCAAAAAATCCCTCCCTGGACTTCCAGGATCCCAAAAAATCCCTCCCTGGGCTTCCAGGATCCCAAAAAATTGCTCCTTGGACTTCCAGGATCCCAAAAAATCCCTCCCTGGACTTCAGAATCCCAAAAAATCCCTCCCCGGACTTCCAGGATCCCAAAAAATCCCTCCCTGGACTTCCAGCATCCCAAAAAATCACTCCTTGGTCTTCCAGCATCCCAAAAAATTGCTCCTTGGACTTCCAGGATCCCAAAAAATCCCTCCCTGGACTTCCAGGATCCCAAAAAATCCCTCCCCGCCCCTCCAGGGTTTTTATCCATCCCAGGAAATCTCATCACTGCCCCTGGAAAAGCTTTTCCCAACCTTCCAGAGGCCTCGCTCATTCCAAAATCCCCTCGCTGATCCCCGGAATCCCAGATCCTGGGAATCCCTGATCCCGGGAATCCCTGATCCCAGGAATCCCTGATCCCGGGAATCTCTCTCTGATTCTGGGGATCCCTGATCCCAGGAATCCCCAATCCCAGGAATCCCCGATCCCGGGGATCCCCAATCCCGGGGATCCCCAATCCCAGGAATCCCCGATCCCAGGACTCCCCAATCCCGGGAATCCCCGATCCCGGGACTCCCCAATCCCAGGAATCCCCAATCCCAGGAATCCCCGATCCCAGGACTCCCCAATCCCGGGAATCCCCGATCCCGGGACTCCCCGATCCCGGGAATCCCGGATCCCGGGGATCCCTCACCGCTGTCGGAGCTGAGGCTGCAGCGGATCCCGTCCCGCGGCTCCGGCCGCTCTCCCGCGCTCCCCTCGGATCCATCCGGCAGCTCCGCGTTCCGGCGCCGCCCGCGCCGCTCCCGAGCCACGCTCTGGGAAGGGAACGACATGGGGAGGGGATTGGGGATGCTGGGAATGCCCAAAATCCCGGGAAAACCACCCCGGGAAAGCCGAGTGTCCCAAAATCCCCAAAATCCCGGGAAAATCGCACCCCAGGAAGGGTTTGGGATGAGCAGGGAATGCCAGGATTCCCCAAAATCCTGGGAAATTCATCCTGAGAAGGGTTTGGGACACACAGGAATTCCAGGATTCCCCAAAATCCTGGGAAAATCACCCTGGGAAGGGTTTAGGACACACAGGGACTCCAGGATTCCCCAAAATCCCAGGAAAATCACCCTGGGAAGGGTTTGGGATGAGCTGGGAATGCCAGGATTCCCCAAAATCCCAGGAAAATCCCACCCACCTTTTCCATGAGGGCCTCCAGGGTGCAGATGTGGAGCCAGAGCAGGGCCTGGGCGCGCTCGTCCAGGAGCTGATCCCGGATTTGGGAATTCTGGGCTTGGGAATGCTGGGCCAGCGACTCCAGCAGCCTCAGGGCCTCCTGGATGGCGTCCAGGGCGGAGCTGCAGGGACAGGGATTCCAAAAATCCCCGGAATCAACCCCAAAATAACGGGAATGGCTCCCAGAATCCCAGGATTGGGGTTGGGGAATGGGATGGGGGGGATTGGGATGGGGGAGCCTTAGAAATGCAGGAATGGGATGGGGAAATGGGATCAGGGATGGGATCGGGATGGGATCAATAGGATGGGCTGGGATTTGGGATGTGGGCTGGGATTTGGGATGTGGGCTGGGATTTGGGCTGGGATTTGGGATGTGGGCTGGGATTTGGGATTTGGGCTGGGATTTGGGATTTGGGCTGGGATTTGGGCCGGGCACGCACCAGTCAGTGTGGGGGGCGAAGCTGTGGCTGCAGAGCAGCTGCGCCAGCTCCAGCAGCGCCACCGCCCTGGGCAGGCTCCGGCCGGGATCCGCCGTTCCCTCGGGATCCACACTTCCCTCGGGATCCCCCGTTCCCGCGGGGCCCAGCAGGTCGCAGATCACCCCGTAGCGCTCGGCTGCCGTGGGGCTCCGCAGGGATTTGTAGGCGCGGAGCTCGGCCAGCAGCAGCCCCGGCACGGCGGCCCCGGGCAGGAGCCGGGAATGGGAATGGGAATCCAGGGCATCCCGCAGGGTCCTGCCGGCGGGGACGGAGCGGGAGGTGAGGGGGGACAGGATCCCATCCCAATTCCCCATCCCATCCCTCCTGTCCCAATCCCAATCCTGATCTTCCATCCCTCCTATCCCAATTCCCCATCCCATCCCTCCTATACCAATCCCAATTCCCCATCCCATCCCTCCAATCCCAGTCCTGATCCCCAATCCCATCTCTCCTATCCCAATCCCAATCCCAATTCCCCATCCCAATCCCCCCAGTCCGAACCCCCTCATCCCATCCCTCCAATCC